GGGGGGGTGGTTTTTGTGGGGGGTGGGGGGGTTTTGGTGTGGGGGGTGTTGTTTGGGGGGGGGGTGGGGGTGTTGTTTGGGGGGTTGGGTTTGTGGGGTTTGTGGGTGTGGTTTGTTTGTTGGTTTTGTTTGTTTTTTTGTTTTTGTGTAGAGAGTATGAAGTGGGTTGTTTGTATGTTTTTGTGTTTTTTGTTATTGGTTTTGGTTTGGAGGGGGTTTTTTTGTTGGGGGTGTTTGTTTGTTGTGTGGGTTGGTTTGTGGTTGTTGGTTGTTTATTTTTTGTTTTGGGTTTGTGGGGAGGGTTTGTTGTTTGTTGTTTTTTTTTTTTTTTGTGGGGTTTTTTGTGTGGGTTGGTGGTTTTGTTTTGTGGTATTTTGGGGGTTTTGGGATATTTTTTGTTTGGTTTGTTTGTGATTGGGTGGAATTATATATTGGTTTTTTGTGGGGGGGGGGGTTGTTTTTTGTTTTGGTTGGTGGTTGAAGATGATTGGGGTGGGTTGGGGGTTGGTGGTGTTTTGGTTGGTTGGGTGGGTGTTGGGGGTGGGTAGGTGGAGTTGTTTGTTGTGTGTTTTTGTGTTTTGGTATGTGTGGGTGTGTTTTTTGTGGTGTGTTTGTTGTGTTTTTGTTGGTATTGTGGGTGTTTTTTTTTGTGGTGTTTGGGGTTGTTTTTTTTTTTTGTGGGTTTGTTTTGTGTGGGGTTGTTGTTGTGTTTGTGGTTGTTTTTGTTGGTGGTGTTTTGTGTGGTTGGTATTGGGTTGGTTTTTTTTTTTTTTTTGTGGGGGTGTTTTGGTGTTTGTGGGGGTGGTTTGGGTTTGTGTGGTGTTGGGTTGAGTTTGTATTGGTGGGGTGGATGGAATGGGGGGAAGTTTAGTTGTGGAGCAGTCGTGCTCGTATGTAAGGTGTTTGAGGGTGTGAAGTTAAATGAGTGGTGGGATGATAATTTAAATATTTGATTGGAATTTATGAGGAGGAGTTTTATGATGTGATGTGGGGTGTGTTTATAGTGGGAGGGATGTGATTTGAGGGGGTGTTGGTGTTTGGGGGTTTGATAGGTTGGGGGTGGTGGATATGGTTATTAATGGGGAGTTTTTGGGGGTTATTGTATATGTAAGAATGTGGATTTTTTTGTAGGGTGGGGGTTGGGGGTTTAAGGTTTTATTTGATTTGATGGTTGGAGTTGATGGGGGGGGAGTTTTGGGGAAAATTGTTTTATAAAGGTTTGGGATATTGAGATAGTATAAGATAGTTGGATATTTGTGTTTGGTTTGTTTGTTATTTATTTGTTTTTAAGTTATGAGAGAGAGAGTAGAGAGTGAGAGAGAAGGATTGGTAATGTTTATTTTTAATATGAGGTTTTGGTTAATATTTTTTTTTAAAATTATAAATGGAGATGGGGAGGTTGATTTGTGGGATTGGTTGGGATGTAAGAGGGATTATTTTATGTTGGGAGGTTGAATTTGTGATTGTTGGGGGGTGATGAGATGGGGAGTTATTTGATTAATAGTGTTTTTGGTTTATTGGTATGGGTTGATGTTGTTGGTATTGGGTTGTTTTGGTTTTTTTGGGAGAAGAGGGGGTTTTTGGAATGTTTAAAGAATTGGATGATGTTTGAATAGATTGTTTGTAGGGGGGTATGGGAATTGGTGAATTTGAGTGATTTTTTTTGGGGATAGGGGGGGGTGGGAGTTTTTTTTTTGGGATATGGATGGGGGGGTTGGATGGTGAGATAATATAGATATATGATTTTTTTTGGGTTTTGGATGGGGGTGGTTGTTTTTTATATGGGGTGAGAATTAGTTATATATTTGAGAGTAAAGAAGTAAGTGTAAATTGGTGATTTAGAGGGTGTTTTGTTTATGGAGTTAGGGTGAAGATATATCTCTATCTCTATCAATATATCTATCTGGGGGGTGGGGATTTAAGTGTTTTGTTTTGGTTAGGTATTGTGGTGAATTGATAGAGGTTTTATTTTAAGATGGGGAGGATAGTTGTAATTTGTGTGTGGAGGGGTAAATGTTGTGGATGAAAATGTGTGGGTAGTGAAGAGAAGGGGATGGGTGATTGGTATTTGTATTTTTTGATGTTTTTTTTTAGGGAGGGAGTTATATTTATATTGGATGTTAGGGTAGGATGTAGCGTGTTGGAGAGAATTAATAGTATGGGGTTGTTTTGAATGATGATAGTAGGGAATTGTAATTTTGTAGTTAGGTGTTTATTAATTATATGTTATTATATATTGTGGATTCTATATATATCTATACTCTATATTCTCTTGTGATGTGGGGGGGGGTTTTTTGAGTGGGTGGGGGTGGGATATAAATCGAGATATTTCTCATTTTTTAGTAAGTTATTATATAGTATTATTTTAATGGTAGAGTTAGAGTATAGGTGGTAGTGAAGAATAAAGTTTAATTAAGAGAAGAAATGTGAGGGAGGGGAGAGGGAATTTTTAGATGGTAATGTATTGGTTTATTTAGTATTTGGTTAGGGGGGGTAGTGAATTGGGGATGAAAAAATAGATTTAGATAAGATAGAAGAGGGGAGAATAATTGGTGGGTTTGAATAATTGTAGGTTTGTAAAGATTTAGGTATTGTTTAATAGTAAGGAAATTTAATTAGAAAGTTGGAGTGAATGTTTTATGTTATTTAAGATTTGTTGTTATTGTAATATGAATTATTTGTGTAGAGAATTTGAAAATTTGTGGGTAATGATGTGTAAGGTTGTTAGGAATTATTTGGGTTGAGAGATAGAGTAGAGATATAGATGGGTGGTGTTAGGTGGGTGTTAATAGGGATATAATTGATATTTTGGTTATTGGGGGGGGGGGGTGGGTGGGGGTGGGATGGGAGAGATAAATATTTGTTGTAGAGGATGGTATTAATGAAGAAAGTGGGTATGGGGTGTGGAAATGAGAAGGAATTGGTAGGATTTTTTTTTAGTGGATAGGATGATATTAGGAGATATTAGATGGAAGAATGGGTTTTGGTTTGGTGTTGGTAGTAGGATGATGTTATTTTATATGGGTTTGTTTAGTGTTTGGTGTTTTGGTGTTGTTTGTGGTTTGTGTTGGTTGTTTAGGTTGGTGGTTGAGTGTTTGTGGTGTGTTTAATTTTATTTGGTGTGTTGGTTGATATATGATGGGGTGTTGAGTGATATGGTATAATGGGTTTTGTTTTGTTTGATGTTGAATTGGTGTGAATGGGATTGGGTAAGGTGGGGTGTAGTATTTAGATATATTTGATATTTAAATTAAAAATTTGGTATGTGGTGATTAGTTGTTATTGTGTGTTGTAGTGGTGTTATTTGAATATATGACGTCTGCTCTCTATCTGTCTATATGATTTTGTTGTTTAATTGGGTTGTTTTTTTTAAGTTTTTTAATGAAATTGGTAATTGAGTATGATTTTAGGTGTTTTAGTTTGGTTAGAGTATGTATGGATTGATTTAGTTTTATGTATTTGGGTGAATAGTATAGTAAAGACTATACAATGATGAGCGTGTGAGGTAGGTTTGTTATGATAAAATTTAATGGTTATTGAAATTGGTATTTTATATAGGGGGAGTGTTAATTGAGTTGTAAAAGATATATAGAATTGATATTTATGTGTGTTTTATTTTTAGTGGATTTTGGTATATGTGTTTGTGGTTTTGTTTTTGAGTGTGCGAGTGTGAGAGAGAGATCTCTCTCTAATATCTATCTCTCATCTTGTAGGGAAGGTAAAAGGGTTGATATGGGTTGGTAAATAAGTAATTTTATTTTTAAAATAATTTTTTTTTATTATTTTATTGTATTGAAATATATTTATGTGGTGTAGGGTGAATTTTAGAAAGAATTGATGTTAGATGAATTTTGAGAAATAAGAGAGTTAAGTGATTGGTTTATAAGTGAAGTGATTATTATTTGTATAATATTTTATATGGGTGGAGTTTATATGTGTATATGATATATAATATATATTTGTAATATATCTCTCTCCTTCTCTCTACTCTCTATCTATAGGTGAGAATAATTTGAAAGAGGTATGATTGTAAATAATTTTGTGAAAAATTTAATTTTATGGGGGATTATGTGGTTTTGTGGTGTGTATATGGTTTGTAAATGTTTGGGGTTTGTTTTAGTTTTATTTTATTGTTGTATGTTTGTAATTATTTGATGATTTTATTGTGTAGTTTGAGTGGGGTTGTTTGGGGAGGGGTTGATATTTGGAGGAAATTTTTATTAATATAGGGGAAGTATGTAGATTGGGGGATTATAGAGGGGTAATGGATGGGTTAGTGAGTATAATAAGATAAGAGAAATAGTGAGAGGAGGGGAAATATTGTATATGTTAATATAATGGAGGGGGTGATAAAGTATTATAAGAAAGAGGGGGAGGATATATTTGGGGATAGGAGTGGGTTATATTGAATTATTTATGTGTGGTGTAATAGAAGAGATGAAGTTTTGATATGGGTGAAAATTATAGAATTGGGTTGGGAAAGTAAGGGGGTTTAAGGTATGAGAAAAGGGATATGAATGTGTATTTGGGTAGGAAATATGGTAATTGTGTATATAGTATAGAATGGGAGAAGTATATGAGGAATTGGGTGGAAGGGGTTTATAATGGGGGTTTAAGGTTTGAAGTGATTTTTAGGGGAGAGTAGATTAATGATTTTAGTGGGGGTTATGATGAATGAAATTGGGTTTTAGGGGTAATTTAGAATTGATATAGAGGGGTTGTTGAGATTTGATATTGTTTTAAGAAGTTGAGGGGGGTATAGTAGTATGGGTGGAAATATGAGTTTATATATTTTTGTGGGGGTGATGGGGTTTGTTATGAAATTAAAAAATGAGAGAGAAAAGATTATATTAATTATGTAGGGTGGATAATGGTGAATGAGTAAGTTGAAAGAAAGAGGAGGAATTTTTTTTATGTATTTGTATTTTTAGGATTTTAAAAAATAGGAAAGTATTAATATTAATATAGTATGAGGGTGTTTTAAGAAGAAAAGGGGATTG